GCCTCTTTTCATCTACTACAAATTCACGCCCTTAAGTTTCCTTTCAGACAACAGAACACATGCAAATAATTCTTTATTCACACCAAAACCTGTACTCTTCTCCAACCTCATGTTCTTTTCTCCTTCAGTCTCTTCCTTTCTAGTCTTTCCCAGGGTTACTGTGACTTTATGTCTTCTATAAATACCTCAGGCCTTAGAAGGTATCTTTCAAGTATTTTTTTAATCCCTTGGTAACCCAGAGGATCCTGGCGGGCTACAGTTCATGGGGTTCCAAAGAATCAAACATAACTGAACAATTAACACACAACACACGACCTTCAGTCAGATGCCACATCCGTGCCTTTTTCCAGATCTGAGTTTATGCCATGCCCTTTCTGTGGCACTGCCAGCGCTCTATTCTCCCATCTTCTCCGAAGGCATGTTTTATTACGTGCCAACTGAGGGCATCAGGACAATACTACTTGAGGCACACCAGTGACCCTGCCTCTTTCCAGTGCTTCCCATCTTTACTCCCCTATCCCCAGCCTTTCCAGAGCTACCCAGACAGGAACCAGCACCTCTCACCTAAACTTTCACTGGCAGGAAGGCACCCAGAAGCCTCTCAGCAACCACAGGGATTGGTTCACCTTGAGAACTCGACCAGGTTCTAAAGACTCAGGATTTATTGTCCTATATTCTGACATCAAGACCTTCCTTCCTGCAACAGAAAGAATCCAGAGTTTCCACTTTGACTACCACTGAAGCTCAGGCTGTTTTCTCCCAAGGCCTAGGAAACATATTGCAGAGAAGGAAATTAAAGAACAGAATCAGGCCCCACCTCTCCTTCTGTTTTCCCATTCTACTCTGAAACCTACTTTCTAGCCCTGCTGGTCTCTTCACAGGGACTGAACATACTATTTTCACATCCAGCTACAAACTCTGGCACTCGACCCCAGTAGCCATATTCCTAGACCAGCTCCACACCCTCATCTCCCATTAGAGAGGACTCTCTTCCACATTGACCTCCAAACCATCTTTGGTTGACAGAATGATATTTCATAATTTCTGATGAAAACCAGAAGCAGTTGGTGAACCCTACATACTCTAAATCTCATGGCATACATTAATTAACATATGGGAAGGGGAAGAGCCTAGTACCTGGATTCCCAGTAAGAGTTGCATCCCACTTCCTATTTCCGGAAGATCTTATGTCACTCAAGCAGATTTGTGGTCTTGGTTGCTGCTAAACTGTTTATGTAAAAATTCCTCTTCCTGCTTGAATCATATGATTCCACAAATATTAATATATACTGGGTTCCTTCCATGTTCAGAAATAATGGTTAAGCCAAACAGGTGAACTAGAAATAAATAAGACCTAATATTCAGCTTCGATTAAGAGAGGATAAGAGATAAATATGGGCTTCCCTGTTGGCTCAGATGGTAAAGAATCCTGCCTGAAATGCGGGAGACCTGGGTTCAATCCCTGAGTTGGGAAGATCCCCTGGAGAAGGGCATGACAACCCACTCCAGTATTCTTGCCTGGAGAATTCCATGGACAAAGGAGCCTAATGGGCTACAGTCCATGGTTTTGCAAAGAGCCAGACATGACTGAGTGACTAAGCACAAGAGATAAATATACTAACATCTATAAATATTAGAAAGACACAGTGACATCCATAAAAGCTTCAATATTACAATAGTCATCCAGACACCATTCCATGAACTTTATGCATATTATAATATCTCATTTATGCTCACAATAACACTGTGAGATGGAAAGGTTTATCTTTGTTTTGAAGAAAAGGAAAGGAAGGTTCAGAGAGGTTGAGTAGCTTTCACAATAGTCAACCACTAGCAAATTTTACTCCAAAGTCTTTGGTCCTAACCTCATGGGGAGTTGGAAAGAGGTGAAATCATGTTTAATTGAGACATCAAGTATATCTTCATGAAATGAATTACTTTAGAGGTTGATTTTGAAGAGTAGTTAGGATTTTAAGAAACAAAGATAGATAAAGAAAATTCAAGACAAAATGAAAGCAAAAAAAAAAAATAGAAAGAAATCAGGAAAATCAGGTATGTATGAAAAACAGCAATTACAGGTATTTGACCAGAAAACAGCATTTGATTAAGAGATTAAGCCTAGGATGGAGCAAGACTGTGAAAGGCACTGGCTTTCAAGCTGAAGGATCTGCATTTAATTATGAGACAATAAGGTGCATAATCCCAACTCCAGCTAACCCTTACTGTGCCACAAACCATATAAGGTTTTACCACCTGGGATTTAGCTTAGAAAAAATTAGAGAGTGGGATCTGCCCATAGTTGAGCGGTAGAAGGATAATTTGAACAATGGTAGAGAAAGAGGGTTTTTGGTGGCGATTGTTATGGCATTAAAAAGGCTGACCAGAAGATCTGCCATAAGTGGAGAGAAGAGGAAATGAACAAGAGACTGCACAAGAGGATGAACACAAAAATTCCATAGAATTTAGGGACAGGAAAAAAGGAAGATAATGCAGCTAGAAAGGAGAGCTTTAGTTTGATATCTTAGAGGCAGAGCAGGTTTGAGTGGTGGCCAATAACATAACAGTTTAAGTAATAGCAGAGGGGATGAAGATAGAGGTTGCTAGAGTTGTGCCAAGGTAGGTCACCACTCAACCTCCAGGACCTAGTGTAGTGCCTGGGCATCAGTACTAAATGCAAGTGTAATATATCAATGGGGCTACCACATAAATGAACCCTCAATGGCCAAGGACCCAAAGAAGAAGAGAGGAAAATCAACTGAGATGTTGACATCTCTGCAAATAGTAAAGAGGTTACAAGAAAAATCAGTTGCAATGAGGAATGGAAAACTCTGGCATAAAGAAACACCATGATAAGCATGACAGTGGCCATGGAAGTTGGAATATGCTAGGAGTATGAAACACTCACCTGCTGAATTAACTAGCCCTAAAATTGGACAGTACTGGACTTTCGGATCCATGCCCGGCTGTCACTAAACTTAAAAGCTTTCACACAGCAAAGGAAACCATAAACAAAATGAAAAGACATCCCACAAAATGGGGGGAAATATTTGCAAACAAAGCGATCTACAAGGGATTAGTCTCCAAAATATAAAAACAGCTCATGCAGCACAATGTTAAAACAACAAACAACCCAATCAAAAACTGGTCAGAAGATCTATGTAGACATTTCTCCAAAGAAGACATACTAATGGCCAAGAGATACATGGAAATGTGCTCAACACCACTAATCATCAGAGAAATGCAAATCAAAACTACAAGGAGACATCACCTCATACCAGTCAGAATGGCTATCATTAAAAAGACTATAAACAACAAATGCTCATTAGGGGTGGAGAGAAGGGAACCATCCTACACAGTTGGTGGGAGTGTAAATTGATACAGCCACTAGAACAGTGTGGAGGTTCCTTAAAAAACTAAAAAAAAGAGTTTCCCTGGTGGTCCGGTGGTTAAGAATCCACCTTGCAATGCAAAGGACACTGGCTCGATCCCTGGTCCAGGAAGATCCCATAGAGTGCGAGCCTGCACTCTAGAGCCTGCAAGCCACAACTACTGCGCCCATGTGCTACAACTACTGAAGCCTGAGCACCAAGAGCCTGTGCTCTGCAACAAGAGAATCCACGGCAATGAGAAACCGCACGCTGAGACAGAGAGTAGTCCCCATTCGCTGCAACTAGAGAAAGCCGTGTGCAGCAACACAGACCCAGCACAGTCCAAAAACTAACTTAATAAGTAAATAAATCTTTTAAAACTAAAAGTAGAACTGCCATATAATCCAGCAACCCCACTTTTGGGCATATATCTGGAGACAACCACAATTTGAAAAGACACCTGCACCTCAGTGTTCATTGCAGCATTATATACAATAGCCAGGGCAGAGAAGCAACCTAAATGTCAACTGATAGAGGAATGGATAAAGAAGACAGAATACATGTACACAATGGAATATGGGTCAGCCATAAAAAAGGAGGAAATAATACCACTTACAGTGACATGGATGGACATAGAGATGGTCATACAGAGAAAAACGAATATCATGTGCTATCACTTATATGTGGGATCTAAAAAAAATGGTACAGATGAACTTATTTACAGAGCAGAAATAAGTCACAGGTATAGAAAACAAACATATAGATCCCAAGAGGGAAGGAGTTGGGGAGATGAATTGGGAGATTGGGATTGAAGTATACATACTGCTATATATAAAACAGATAACTAATAAGAACCTACCATATAGTGCAGGGAACTCTACTCAATATATTGTAATAGCCTATCTGGGAATATAATCTAAAAAAGAGGGAATATATGTATATCTGTAACTGATTCGCTTGCCTGTACCACAGAAATTAACACAACATTGTGAATCAAATATACTCCAATAAAACTTAATTTTAAAAAAAGAAGAAAGAAACACCACGATAATCAAAAGCAGCAGCAGAGCTGGGTGACAGTGACTGAAAGCACTCATCTCCAGGGAGGCAGAAAATACATGTACTCTAATCCTCTCACTCCCCTCAGCAGTAAATATTGAATTAATCAAGGATGAAGAGATTCCAGGGTCCTCAGTAGAAATCAGAACCCCAGAACACCCACAAGCAGAAGACACAGGGCCATCAGACTGAGGGACCCCTGAAGAGTGGAGTCAGGCCCTCCCGACGGGCCCAGCCTGGCCTCTCATCTCTTCCATAACACTACTCTCCACATCATGCTCTCCCAGCCCCAGAATCTGGGCCACAGTCGGGTGGAGCTCTGGTCATCCCCCCTATGTAATAAGTAACTCCCAATTGATTTTCCAGCTCTTCCTTCCCCACCAATAGGTCTGACTGTTGGCATCAGAGGGCAGGCCTGGAAAATCACTCACATATTATTGGTGCTCTCCATCCCCCATCCTCACCTGGAGGTGCATATAAACCCTGAAGAGCCTGAGATCCAAAACAACCACTGTGTTCTCTATACCCTCATCCTGGTCATTGCTGCTGCCGTAACAGCCCCAGGCCAAGAGCATGAACAAGCTGATGCTTTGGGTCTCTGTCCTCGGCATCCTCCCAGAAGCCTTTGCTCAGACAGGTAGGGTGGTCAGGGTGTGATCCAGGAACATGAGATGAGAAAAGATTGAATGTTCTTTTTTCCCTGCATTTGTAGTAAAGGTCACTCTATTTCTCCCTGTCTATCCACAGACCTCAGAGGGAAGGTATTTGTGTTCCCTAGAGAATCTTCCATTGACCATGTGACCCTGATCACAAAGCTGGAGAAACCTCTGAAGAACTTGACCTTGTGTCTCCGAGCCTATAGTGACCTCTCCCGGGCCCACAGCCTCTTCTCCTATAGCATCTATGGCAAGGATAATGAGCTACTGCTTTTTAAAAACAGGATTGGAGAGTACAGTCTATACATTGGGAAAGCCAAAGTTACTGTCAGAGCTTCCGAGACGTTCCCCAGCCCAGTGCACATCTGTACCAGCTGGGAGTCTTCCACAGGCATCGCTGAATTCTGGGTCAACGGGAAGCCACTGGTGAAAAGGGGCCTGAAGCAGGGCTATTCTGTGGGAGCTTACCCCAAGATTGTCCTGGGGCAAGAGCAGGACTCCTATGGAAGAGGGTTTGATAAGAGCCAGTCCTTTATGGGAGAGATTGGGGATTTATACATGTGGGACTCCGTCCTGCCACCAGAAGAAATCCTACTTGTGTACAATGGTCACCCCTTCATCAATCCTACCATCCTGAACTGGCAGGCTTTGAAATATGAAACCAAAGGCTATGTTATTGTCAAGCCCCTAGTGTGGGGCTGAGGTTTGGAATCAAAGAGAGGACTTGAAAATGAAACAACCAATACCCAAGAGTTCTGCTTAAAGCAACTGAACCCTAAATTGTAGATCTGTAGCTCTTTCTTCTTTGAATTTCCCATCTACAAGTATGCCTAATTAAAAAAATATATTATGCCACCTGCATTCGTTTAGTGCTTGTCATAGTCCCAAACATTTTCTTGTATATCTACTTATTTGAAACTTGGTATTTAATTAACCAGAAAAATCAGCCTGCAAATTATGAGGAGGGGAATCTTTAAGTTACTAAAAAGATATGTCAGAGCACTCAATGAGTATGGTCAGTAGCAACACTTACAAGCTACTAATAATCATTGCATTAACAATTTGAAATTCATGTGGAGTTGCAACAGAAATCCTTCTATTTGGTTTTCCAGCTACAAAATCAAAAAGAGGTCTGAGCTTCTGCCAAGGAGACAACTATAATGAGATAAGCAAGCAACAGTTGAGAACTCGATAGCAAGTAATGAGATGGGGGAAAAAATTAGAGCCAGCAGGAATGAAAACTAAAAATGTTTAAGAGTCTGGATCATTTTGGGTAAAGGCAAACATGCCTTTTTTTTTTCCTCAAAAATCCCAGTGGTACCATTCAATGACTGATTTCCATAATATTGTCCTGAAGTCATCAAGGATCTTGCTCACCTGAATTTCCAGTTGAAAATCTTTCCATGGATCCCCACTTTACACAGGATGCAACTTAAGCCCTTTGACATGCTCCCCATAAACTGGTCTCAGCTTATCTCTTTAAGATACAAATCATAGCACAGCAAAAGGCATCCCAATTACAACACTACAAAATAATTATCAGATGCTATTATTAGTAGTTATCTTCATTATTATGAAAACTATGGAGCAGAGTGTCTGGCATATCCTCAACAGATATGAATTCCCTTCTCAGAGAAGCAAGGACTCCGAAGAAAGTTTGGCTGCATATGAGAAATAAGGCAGGCTTTGCCCACAGATAACAGAACATGAAGCGAAGGGAAGTCAGAAAGACAGCATCCAGGAGAGCTTCAGAATAACCAAGTGATCACTTCTTTTTTTCATTTTTCTTTTTTCCCAAGTGATTACTTCTAACTCACATGTCCATTCACCCAGGATAGACAAAGAGGCAGGCACAGACACAATAAAGTAGGCTGGAGCATTCAACAACATGGCCCCAGGGCTGGTCATACCAGAAGGCTCTATAAGGGAGTTTTCCCTAATGAGAGTATTTGTGACTTTCTCTATGTTTTATATGGGAAACTCCATGGAGAGCTCTGAGGTTAAAGCAATGAGGTCTGCTTGGGCTTGGGATATGTCTTAGCTCAGAGTGAGGATTTTAAAAAAATATTTTCTTTTTCTTCACTAGAAAGCACCAGTATGTAGTCACCTTAGAAGAGCAACATGGAGACTTTCTAGGCATTCATGGTACTTCCTCTCATTTAGAAAGAACAGGTGTCCAAGAACACTCAAAGAAGAGAAGGAAAGCTGAAACATGATCTCAGTCACCTTTAATTCTTACCATGTCGTCATGCTAAGTCGATTCAGTCGCCCGACTCTTTGCAGCCCTATGGACTGTCATTCAACAGGCTCCTCTGTCCATGAGATTCTTCTGGCAAGAATACTGAAGTGGCTTCCCATGCCTTCCTCCAGGGGATCTTCCCAACCCAGGGATCCAGCCCTTGTCTCGTAACATCTCCTGCATTTGCAGGCAACTCACTCCAGTATTCTTGCCTGGAGAATCCCATGGACGGAGGAGCCTGGTAGGCTACAGTCCACAGGGTCACAAAGAGTCGGACACGACTGAGCGACTTCACTTTCACTTTCTTTACCACTAGTACCACCTGGGAATATGCCTAAATAGCTGGTTAACTTATAAATTAAACTCCATTTGTGTCCTAGAATTTTCCATCTAGGTTTTCTCTGGCTGTGACCATTCTGTGAGTTCAATATGGGAGATGCTCAGGGATTCCATCATACACTGGGACAGTAATCAAGCACACACATCATGTCATATACAGCCAGAGGAGCCAAAGCAAAACTAATCTAATGTTACTGGTAAGTTACACTAAGGTCCATTGTCTACAAGGGGCTGACCCAACTGTGTCTGGAGCAAGGAAGCAAAGGCAAATATTTCATCCAGAGCTCCAGAGCTCTAGCTGCTACAGCAACTTCTCATTGTAACTTCACGGGGTTCTTGTGAGGGTCAGAAGTGATGACACAACACCTACTCAGTACATGTTCCGGCCCCATGTAAGCGCAGAAAGCTATGACAAACCTAGATAGTGTATTAAAAAGCAAAGACATCACTTTGCCAACAGAAGTCCATATAGTCAAAGCTATGGTTTTTTCCAGCAGTCATGTATGGATGTGAGAGGTGGACCATAAAGAAGGCTGAGTGCCAAAGAATTGATGCTTTCAAATTGTTGGACAGCAGGGAGATCAAACCAGTCAGTCTTAAAGATTTCCCACACTCTTAAAGATTTCCTGAATATACATTGTAAGGACTGATGGTGACGCTCCAATACTTTGGCCACCAGATGCAAAGAGCTGACTCATTGGAAAAGACCCTGATGCTGGGAAAGATTGAAAGCAAAAGAAGAGGGCAACAGAGGATAAGACTGGTAGATAGCATCACCAACTCAATGGACATGAATGTGAGCAAATTCCAGGAGATAGTGAAAGACAAGGAAGCCTGGTACACTGCAGTCCATGGGGTCACAACGAGTCAGACACAATATAGCAACTGAACAACAAGTGCTAAGTGTCAGCTATGATGTAAAAGAGACTGAGACTTACTACCTAAATCTTTAAATCATCTGCCTTAACTTCTTGGTATATTCCTACAAACAGAAAAATTCATTCTCTATTTTCAGCCTCTGCTCCCAAACCTACCCCTTATCTAACCAAACCCATGTATGTCTCCTGTTAGTAGCAGAAATAGGGCAAAGCGCTTCACATAGACATTGAGAGTCATCACATCTGACTTTTATACAATTACATTTTCATTGAGAGTAACTAAGCAAGGGCAACACACTAACATAGATTCAAAAGAACTAGTGCCATGTGACATTCAACACATCTTTGTCTGAGGTGAGCTATTTTTCTCCAGGAGAAAAAGAAAAAGTCAGGCCATGTGAGACCAGAGCTTGCCCAGTGTTCCCTGCATGATCCAATTGTAAAGAGATATCCGGGCTCATTTCAGGATCCTGACTCCATTCAGACCCATGGGATACACAGTAAGTATCTTGGCAAATAAACCCAGGAGACAAGAGCTTGATGACAGGAATTCTCCTGAGAGTCCCCTCCAAATCAGACTTTAAAGGGACTGCTCCTTGAAGGTCAGATTTGCTCAGTGCGAAAGTGTCACCTTATGCTTCAGCCAAAGTACAATGAACTGAGTGATCTAACAATATTGTAAAGTAATTAGCCTCCAACTAATAAAAATAAATGAAAAAAAAATAATGTAATAAGGCTGACCTAGACCCTAATAAGGCTGAGTTTTGTATGACACTAAGATTCTACTAGGGCTTCCCTGGTAGCTCAGGTGATAAAGAATCTGCCAGAAATGCAGGAGACCCTGGTTCTATTATGTATTCTAGCAAAAAATGACAATCAGTTTTCTTGGCATTGCAGTGAGTTCTTGTAAATGTCATAATTGCCTGCTATGCCCTATAGCCAGAAAAAAGCACAGACAGATTCTACAGACTCAAGAAGGTAAGGGAGTGGATTCTTCTGGGTATGGGAAGGCTTCTGTCCCAAAGAAAAGTCATCACTCTCTTGTTTATTCAAATAGTTCACATAATCATCAGTTTCTTAAGAAGTCAGTTCCTCCATTCCTGGCACCTTACATCTATTTTCTTTAATGAAAGGAAAAGAAAGGACAGGACAAGATGGAAAGCCTAGCAAAAGACAACGTCATTTTTTTTTTTTTTTTTTTTTAGCAGCACGACTCCTTTTAACTCAAAATGCAATTATAGAGACTTAGCCTACCTTGCGTAGTTTATTTTTTTAAACACAGATTCGGTTTCTAGGCACAGATTTTGCTTCTAAAGATCTAGATATTTTTAAGAATCCATGGGTTTTGTCATAATTTCTTCCCTTTGAAAATGGTATTTCCTTTACACCCTCAAATTGTGCTTTTCCCCTCTATCTTATTTTTCTTTTTCTTCTAGTCAGAATATCGACTTCATGACTACAATTTTGATGCATGAGCACATTTCAGTATCCTTACTCCCCCACAGGGTTTTTGTCCTTCTGGAGTGTTTAAATCATTTTGAAAGCTCTTTTCTGTCCTACACTGTGCTTTTGAGATCGTCTCCTTGCGTGTCACTTACCCAAAAACACCCCTAGGGTTCAGGCAGAAAGAGGACCCAGATCTGGATGGTGGAAGGGCTGCTGCCCCAGTGCCCAGCTGGAGCACTTCTGGCTAAGCTGGCTCACAAGAGGAACCAGGATGAAGAAAGGGGGCGGTCATCTGGTGCTAAAAGTATCCTTAAGTTCACTGACACCTGTTCTAACCACTGAGAATTCATCCCAGCCGATCTCCACTGGTATAACCAACCCATCCATTCCACACACCACTTCAGCACCATGGTGCCCTCTGCAACTTCTCCCCTCCCAAGGTGAACACTGGGGATTGTTCACTGAATTGATTCGAGCTAAGAATGCAATGCGATTTCACTCCCACCTTCCACACTTCCCCATCTCCTTCACTGGAGCGTCCCTCACCCCCAGAGGCAGTTAACAGCCCTGTGCTAGTTATTTCAACAACACCTATCTTTACAGTAACAATTTTAGACTGTGCTTTTCAAAAAGACAGGTTAAAAAATGAGGTAAGAAGCAACTGCCCTTCATCTTCCATCTCATTCCTTCATGCTACAATATCCCTGAAGATGTGACAAGATGGAGTGATCACACCCTAGAACTCCTGACATGGAGAACAATCGTTGGGAAGAACGCTTGGAGAAACATTCTAAGTGTGA